TCATCAATTTGCGTCCGTTTGGTTCCATCATTAAGGATTTTAGTTCGGAAGACCTGCCAATTTGTTTGCTTAGGAAGTATGAGAAGATATCCCTACGCTTCATTAAAGCTGAATTGGATTATCATTTTTTACACAATATATATATATTCTAATATTTATATATGTTATGTAATACTGTAATATATATTTTTATTTATATATTTATATTCGTATTTCTTTATATATGTATTTACATTTGTCTATATTTTATTTATATTATTTATTTATTAACTTTAATTTGTATAGAATGCATTAATATTATTTATTATAGTTAATGACAAATATTACATATATAACAATTTAAAAATCTATTCATATATATTTTGTTGTTATATATTTATATTCTTGCCATATATTTATTTATTTATATTTATTATTACCAGTATTAACAATAATAATTTATAACATGTATAACAACTAATGAAAAATGCATATTATTACACTAGACCTGATCATAAGTAACTATCACAAGTCCAGCTGCAGGCCAATTCAAGAGTCCCCACTTGCTGGACATTTTATTAACCGAACTCTAAAATGTAGTAGTAGTAGGAAAGTATAATACATACTCCAAGTATTGAAATTGAATCCCAACACGATGGCGTGTATTTCAATACTTGGAGTATGTATTATACTTTCTTATCTGAGATTAATCAGTGGACCTTTCGGTTTTTAGTAGTAGTAGGGCGTAGGCCTAAGCCTAACTATGCCTAGATACACTAGATAGGTCACTTAGCCAGATATGTTTACCTTCCTAGCCTAGGCGGCCCTATAGTTTCATTAGCAATAGTCCTACTACTTACCTAGCTACAACATGTTTTATTTTTAACTTAAATGTATAAACATGGCTGCTGAAATTACTGTAGTAGAACCAATAACTCCCTGGTAGAACTAGCACTAGCCTAGGAGAATATTACACATCAGTAGTATAGGGCTACCTAGCCTAACTAGGCTAGGCCTAGTCCTAACTCATGAATAGGCTCTCCTCTCCTTGAGATGCCATCCTTGAAGTGCTGAATATTCCGAAATTCTGTATCACATCCTGGCCTAAAGTATTAGTATAATTAAGTCTAGCCTGCTATGAGTCCGTTATGTATGATAAACTAGGCCTAGTCCTAACAAGAGCCTGAGTTTTTATTTACTGTAACAATAACAGTTAATAGTACTATCATGGAGGTATATGGTACTATCTAATAGTAACACATGGAAATCAGTAGCTCACCTAGGCCTCAAATTGTCAAATTTAGTGAAATCAAACATGGTCTACCTACACCGAACTTACTTTTGTTTGGCATCGCAGATAAAAAAACGTGGAGGCAGGTACCTAACAATCATAAAACTGAAAGGATACGCTGAGTGTCAAGTAACTTTGCTAGCGACGCAATCGGCTAACATTTGTAACCTTTCCCATTTTATCAGAAATGTTCGCCAGATTAATTATGAGTGTTGATTGGTATTTGGCTCGTGATCAAAGGTGTCGTCTGGTACCGAGATTCACAGTCACTTACTTCCCGTAAACCATTTGATGACATAGTAGCTACTATCAGTAGCCACAAAAATGGCAGTTGTAAATTAAATATACAACAAAAAATCATTAAAATTTTTTAGCAACAATATAGAAGACATACTCCAAGTATTGAAATACACGCCATCGTGTTGGGATTCAATATTTCAACATTAATTATGTCATCATCAGGAATGTCATCATCATTTATGATCACACATTTATTTCATGAATTGTGTAATTTATACACTTAACAATACAGTTGAAAATTTTGCAAGGTTGGTGGGTTGTTAAGATAATCTGAAAGGTTTGATTACACACAAATGTATTTGTATAGTTTAATTCTTATAGAATCATTCTTACCTCTTCTTCTGAAGAAAGTCAGCCTCCAAAACAATGGTAGCAATCAGTTGAGTGTTCTGATCAAGATTGTATATAGAAACTAGACATAAAAAACATAATATTAAATTGAGATGATTAATTAATTATACAAAACCAAAGGAATACTAACACAATCAAATATAATACAGTAAAATGTCAATTTTACGAACATCAATTTTACGATTGGTCTTTGCCACTGATGGCGTCATCATCGACGAATTATTGCCGTAAAAAAAGCTTGATTGTACATGTGTTAAAAATTTTTCTTAATAAAATCAAGTTTGTTTGTTTGTTTCTATTTATTAGGAGGTTCAACTTTTCTTCCATTTCTGGTATAATAATCACTATGTTAATGTAATAAACCTAACCAGAACAACGAACTACAGTACCAACGCAAGTGTTATTGGATTGAGCGCACATATTTACAATGACGAACGAGTGTTGGGGTCAGCAACTTACTGACATCGTGAATGTTAGATGATTGCGAAATGCATGTGAACAACACTATTCAACGATCTAACAACTAGAAAGAACACGAGAGGAAGGTCCATAAAACATAGATGTTTGAATAAGAGTTAAAATAATATTTTGTAAAGTAGAGAAGAATGCCAGCAATTAAAATAATTTTTCGTTTTTATCAAAGGTAAATTCAGCTAGGGTATAGCGCGGTAGAACACGCTGCTGCACTGTCAGTTTGTGCTAGGCCTGGCTGCTGTCAGCCTATCAGTGCTCGATGGCAGGAGATACTGTAGCAAGGCCTAAATATTGGAAACTGACACCCGATCTAGTTTACAATTTTTTTTAATTTACGAAGACCCCAAGGGGTACGTAAAATAGACGTTTTACTATATACACAAACCAAAGGAATACACTTACAGTCAAACTCGCCTATATAAATTATGTTTTAGTAAAAAAAAATTGTTAATGTCGATTTTTAATGCTACTTTGTTTTCCTTTTAAAAGATAAATACTTGTTAATATAATTTGAATAAATCACTGTCAAATACATTGATTATAATTTATGTACCAAATTAGTCTTTATTCAAATAATTTCTATCTGTAACTTAAAGTCAAAAGAAGTCCATCGCCAAATGATTTGAAGCTTTCCTTATGATCGATTACTGTTTACATTGTGTGGTGTGTTGAATACATTAAGCGATCATGACTATCATTCTGTGACGTGCTCAATAAAGATTCCTGGGTAGATTCACCATACCATAGATACACATGCTTGTGTACAAGGTTGCAAAGGAACGTTACACTAGATTGAATAACCAATGTGAAAAGGATAAAATACTCACCATCAACATCTTGACCAATTGAGAGCATAGCCCATTTTCTCTACAAACAACAAAAAATAATTTATGCATTAATTTCATGAAAATTTAATATGATACTACTTACTTTTTTTTATAAATATGCAAATGATACAAAACATACTGTAAGGGCAACAAAATGCTGTTTTGCCCAAGCACAGGTATATTTTATATTAGAGTCATTTGGGATAATTTTTTACAATAAACTTAATACAAGCATAATTCTAGTATTATTGTCACCCTCCTGTACTTGGTATAATGGCAACCACTGGGATAAAATCCATCGTTAATGTATAATTTATTGAAGGTTGAAAATACACATCAAATAATAGTATTTTGAAATCTTCCTTGGCCCTAAATTTTTAAGATTTAGAACAGTCAGACTTGGTCAACACACACTGAGGTGTTACCAGCATATGCCAAATGTACTCAAACCCAGGACCTTGTCAATGTTCCACCCCACCCCCCAAAACAGACAAAAAATATATTTCAGATAGCAAATTTGTCAATAAAATAATACAAGCTATAAGACAGTTTTTTTTTTAATTTATTTATTTTTTTGTTAAATTTTTTAACTGTGATTTTTAATGTTTTGTAAATTTGTATTTCATGTCAAAGGGTTCCCACTTTTGTGTTGGGCCCCTGGCCCATGGTCTCTCCTCTTGGATAATTTGTCAAATTTGTAATAAATAAATAAATAAGGCATTAGCCATAACAACAACTCCCTTTTATTTAGTTTATTTCCAAACAATTGTTACAATTGTAGAATGCATTACGATAACATTTTGCAAGCACTGATGATGGGCCGATGCGCACTGTGCACTTAACTGTGCACTATGTGCCAAGCGCTTACAGTATATTGATTTTGAACAGTTCATTTATAAATCAGAGTGTTTACACCAACTACAATTTGAACAAGCTGAGTAACAACTTTATAAGGTATTTCATTCATACTTGAAAAGAAATATAAAATATTTGATATCAAACTACTACTGTATACTACTGTACAACAAGCCTAGCACACACTGTAATTCTCCATAACAATCACACATGCAGTAGCCTAGAGTAACACATTAGAAAATGGTATCGTAACAGCTTACCCCTGGCGGCAACGCACAAACCGCTCAGATAACGTTGGTTTTTTTTTACAAAATCTGACTTTTACGAACTATTCGTACCAAAAAACTATAAATCTTTATTGCTTATAAAACTAAGAATCTCTATATTTCTCTCTCGCTTATCACAATCACAATCTTGGTGTTTAAAAATATGGATAATGTAGTCATATTGGCTGATATTCAAGAGGACGCCGAATCCATGTGAGCATCAGATGGTCATATGCTTGTAATGATGATAATAATTTATTAGGAACTACACTTTATAATCAATGACAAACTTCTCAATAGAAGGTGTATCCAGAACAATACAGTAAAGTTCACAAAAAAAGACTTCAGCTATTAAGAAAAAGACAATTCAAATTTGTATTATACTTGAAAAGAAAATATAAAATATTTGTTATCAAACTACTACTGTATACCACAACAAGCACACACTGTAATTCTCCATAACAATCACACATGCAGTAGCCTAGAGTAACACATTAGAAAATGGTATCGTACAGCTTAGGCGCGATCTACAAATTATCCCCAACGACAGAAACGGGTCAAACACGTTTACTATTGTTATATGACAAGCTCCCAAACGCGTCTGTGAAATGCCGTTTGGAAGCTTGTCGTTCGAGCCGTTTATTCCGTTTGGAAGTTAACTCCTCCCCTTTTCATATGGCTGACTGCTCGTGAATGGAAAAATGTTAAACGCGTTCAGCGAAATTTGGAATTTGATCGTGATTTAAACAACTTCAAAACTTGTTCAGTGTCCCTACCGTACCTAGGCCTAGGCCTATATTTATAATAGTAGTAGCCTGGTAGTAAAATGCTAGCCTACGCTAGGTGACAGTTTACGAAGAAATGTTTATAATAAAGGCCTAAATTTAATTATTTTTCTTGTTGGGGAAACCCCAATGTTTCTTGTATTATAGTAGGCTAAGCCCTACCGTTACCTGTAGGTTTTATAGAAGAGAAAGCAATCGCCAGTAACCTTGCTACCCAGATTATATTGTGCGATGTTCGAATTGACCTATCAAAACAAGTACCTTTTGCCCAACTTTCTCATTCCCACGTGCCTGCACAGCCCGCACAATACAGAACACTGACTTGGATCAGCCGCAGTTGAATAAGTTCGTTGTGGCGATCACGTGATCCAGGCACTCCATCGAACGTCCTATTGTTGGCATCTCAACTGACCCACTTCTGTCAGAGCGGCGCTCAAAGCGAATTTCTGTAGACCAAGGAGGAAAGTTTTTTCCTCCATGTATAGATCAACACCGGCCACACAGTCAGTGACATTTGTCACGTGATGTTGCGTACTATGTTGAACTGATCACATCCACACACACGAGGTACCCAATATTAATTGTACAGTAGTTGCATAGGCCTAGTTGCTGTATATAATATATATTGATGCCTACGTAGATGTTCTATTTTCTCTATAGTTTATTGAATGATGTTTGGCGAATAATGGCGTCCGTTTATGTTCCCATGTGATATGTGTGCAGGGAGTTGATAAATGTTTTTTCGTTTGTCGTCAGCTTCTTAGCTGGTAGGCTGCTATTCGTCTTTCCGACAGAGCAAACGGCACTTAGGCCTACATGCATGTGCTGTCATTATCGTCATTACCACTTAATTTAACTATTAGGACTATGCAGCCTTTAAACTTTGAACTTGGTTCATTTCAAAGTAAAACTTGTTCAGTATTTTAAATTGTACAAAAACGGTAGTTCAACCGGGGCCTGGTCTAACGACACAGACGCGTTTGTCGCCCAAAACAATAGAAACAATGGCAAACGCGTTCAACAGCACAAACCCGTTTAGACGCGTCTGGGACATAAATTATTCCGACTAGCTTATTAATATTCATGAGGCACGATAATTAGACGATCGCTTTCCCAGACGCGTTTGTAATACATGGTTTTCCCAGACGCGTTTCTGTCGTTGGGGATAATTTGTAGATCGCGAAATACCCCTGGCGGCAACGCACAAACCACTCAGATAACGTTGGTTTTTTTTTTACAAAAACTGACTTTTACGAACTATTCGTACCAAAAAACTATAAATCTTTATTGCTTATAAAACTAAGAATCTCTATATTTCTCTCTCGCTTATCACAATCTTGGTGTTTAAAAATATGGATAATGTAGTCATATTGGCTGATATTCAAGAGGACGCTGAATCCATGTGAGCATCAGATGGTCATATGCTTGTAATGATGATAATAATTTATGAGGAACTACACTTTATAATCAATGACAAACTTCTCAATAGAAGGTGTATCCAGAACAATACAGTAAAGTTCACAAACAAAGACTTCAGCTAAGAAAAAGACAATTCAAATTTTCAAACGGGGCATCAAGGTAAAGTAATTAAAAGAAACGGTTAAGTCAATTAAAAACTTAAATGCAATCTTAAACTAAAAACTTACGGCAAAATAAAGTGATGCAAGCTAACACACATGAACAAAAATTATACAAACACCATACAAACGTACGTGAAATACATATACATAATATACATACATATCCATACAAAACTGCACACCCATAGTCACATAGTATTGTACTCACAAATACAAACATAGAGAAATACAGTACATACAATACCACCAATCACACAAGAAGCACACATTCAGTATCAAGCCTCATCACACAGATACACATAAAAGTAAATCAAATAAACAAGTAATATAAAATAATACAGGACTTAAGTCAAAAACGTTAATTTTCTTTTTTGATCTCATTTCTCTTTTTCCATGCCCTTGTAGCATACATTTAACAAAACCTGTCAAATTTTTCTTCAATTTCTTTTGGAAGATTTAGTGAAAAAGAGCCAAGAACATCCATTAATTTTTGATCGGTGGTTGAATTCATAAATTGGTTCCAAATAGGCCTATTTTTATTATTTCATGTTCAAGCTTTGCTAGTTCTTCCAATCTGATGTTATGAAATGAAGGACATGAAAAAAGAAAATGTCTAATATCTTCAATTGAATCCGAGTTACAAATAGAACAAATACCATCACCAACTTGAGATTCGTCTGTCTGAAGTATTGGAGCATAATCTAAAAGGTATACAACCACGCTCAAAATCTGTAGTTTCAAGTAAATATTTTTCTATTCAAGGGCTTAACTTAATAACTGATTAATTTGAAAGGGAAGAGTTTTGATCAAGAATATTTCTCCAATCAGTACAAGCTTGTTCTTTAAGTTTATTTAAAGTTAAGTTGGTCCAATTTCCGATGGGTTAATCAATGGTATCACATATTAATTTAAATAAATTTTCTGATTCACATTTTGAGAAAACATTGGAAACACATTTAAGAAATTTAAAACGGAAATTTTCAAATTTACAATCCATTTGCAGTAAAGCCTTAAGTAAAAGTTTAGGACCCGATGTGGTTCCATATGTATAATGAGATGAAAATATTTTATGTGGGAAATACTGTGCATAACACTAATTGGCAGCCAGTCAAGTTCACCATACTAAGTTGCACATGGGGTATTTCCAGTTGCTCTAAGCATGCTCTAAGAATATAGCGTGCATCTGCAATTGTAATCAATATCAGACTTATTTAGGGAACACCATACAGTAGAACCATTATTTATTGACGGGAGACCAATCTCCATAAAAATCGCCATAGTATATCCTATTAAAATTTTTGCAGTTATCAATCAATGATTTAATATAAGCAATCAGTCTGGTGCACTTTGTAATTACATTCTGGAATTGTACATTATCATGTAGTTTCCTGGATATATTAACTCCAAGATATTTGCATGTCTCCGCTTCAACAATGAAACCATCACCTAACATCCATTATTTTTCTTTATCAATTCTTTTCCAAAAATTAAAATTCAGATTTGTCTAAATTAAAATTTAATTTCCATGTTTCAGCAAATAATATTGCAAGATTG